TCGCTCGAGCTCCCCCCCCCTCGATTCTTGGACCCCCCCCCCCCCCCGCGCTGACCCCCCCCCCCCCCGCTTGAGCTCGACCCCCCCCTCCGTTCGACCCCCCCCGTCCTCGCTCGAGCTCCCCCCCTCCCCTCGATTCTTGGACCCCCCCCCGCGCTGACCCCCCCCCCCCGCTTGAGCTCGACCCCCCCCTCGTTCGACCCCCCCCCCGTCCTCGCTCGAGCCCCCCACCCCCGTCGATTCTTGGACCTTCCCCCCGCGCTGAACCCCCCCCCGCTTGAGCTCGACTCCCCCCGTCCTCGCTCGAGCTCCCCCCCTCCCCTCGATTCTTGGACCCCCCCCCCGCGCTGGAGCGTTCACTGAATTGCGTGGATAATTCGCCAGATCCCGACCCCCCCCAGAGCGAAGCTTGAGCGAGCTCAAGCCCACGCTCTCAGAAACTCACACGCCGGATCGGCGGATTTCCCAAAGCAGCTATATCTTGAGAAGCTTCGAACGTCCACTCGCGCGTGGCGGCACGCGCGTGGCCCGCATGGTGCTATTGGATACGGATTCGTACAGATCAGCCCAGGTGCACTGCGTGGTGAAATGTGAAAATGAGTTGGGTTCCCATGATCTCAGCAAGTGTGTGCGTGAAAAGAGACACTCCTTCCTTGCTGCCCCCCTTCCTCCTTCCCCCTCCTTCCTTTCCTTCCTTTCCTTGCTCCCCCCCCCCCCCTCCTCCTTCTCTTCTCCCCCCAGCGGGCAGCCCGCCCGAGCGCGGTGTTCCGTGGCCAGCGCGCTCCCCCCACCGCCCCTCAAAAACGAGCCGATGCCCCCTGGAGCGGCACGCAGAACGGGGGCCGCTTCTGGGGGGAGGGGCTGCGCCAGCCAGGGCCTAAATTTAGGTCGGGCCCGTCCCCCCACACAGGGGGATTTTCGACGAAAACTTGAAAGTACCCCAGAAATACTCCAAAAAGGCAAACAATATTCAAAACATAGTCCCCAGACTATTTTTTGATTATTTTTTAAATCAGTTTTTGGGCATTTTTAATTTTTCGTCGACAATCCCCCTGTAGGGAGACACGCCCGACATAAGCCTAAATACGTGATGGGCCATTGTAACAAGGGGACCCTTCTATCTTCCGGTTCTGGCCGTCCCTGGCACGTTGGGGCTCGCGCATCCTGTGCTTTCGCGCCGTTCCACGGGTTTTGCGTTCTTGAAGTGTATCCTTCTCTGCAGGATGCAGCTTGTGGGAGGTTCGATTTCTGTTTTGTCGCTGGTGTATCCGTGGTCGAAACGCTGCCTAGTCTGGCATGGCCCCGCTTAAATAGGCTTTATCCCGCTCAATCCCGCCCAATCTGGCATCCCGCTTATTCCTGCTCAATCTTGGTCTCAATCAGGGCAATCTTGATCTGGCTTAGTAGCCCTTCATCGTTCTTGCGAAAACCTCCCGTGTCAGGATGCCAGGATTTTAATCCGTCTCACATGCCGCAGCCAAGAGGGTGTTTGAGAGCAGTTCGCAGGGCGTCTGACAGCTCGTGGCTATGCCAGCAGATGCCTGGACAGCCGCTGTGCGCCACTACTGCCCACAGTGTTGCATCACTGCCCATGTGCTTCGATACGCGGCTTGCATCATTCATTCACACGCCGCGAGAGAGATTGCGGGGGCACGAGTTGGTCGGCTTCTGCCCTCGCTCGCATATGCACGGCCATGCCAAGCATCGCTTCACGCTCAGCATTCTGTGTCCGCAGCCGTCCGGGGGCGAAGCGCGTCCTCTTCGAACAGGCCCCAACGCTGGAAGCGCACGCATCCTCACTAGGAGTCGAGTGACTTCCTAAACCTAACCGCCGATTTTGGCTGCAGGGACGTCCGGGAGCATGATTTGTTCGGCTCTCTAAGATGGGGGCCTCTCGGGGCTTACCGAGGGGCGCCTTTTGGCCTTGTCGGCAAGCCTACTGGAAACATGGTTGGGGCGGTGGGCGGAAGCCCAAGGCATCATGCTCCCGGAAAGCTATCTGAGAAATACGATTCCCCGAAGTCTCTTGGGGGCCCGCAGGGGGCTTCCCTGGGGGTCCCTTGAAGGCCTATTGGGGCTTCCGGGAGCGCGGCGGCGACGACGAGACGTGGCGGCGGCGCTGCCCCGCTGCCTCTCCGCTGCTCCGCCCGCGGCCGGGGCCCTTCGACTCGGAGGAGGAGGAAACCGTACCGATACGCCCACCCTTGCCTCTTGGCATCGCTTGGACGTGTGCATTTTTCTTTCGGCGAGGACCATCGAGGAGCATCCTCGATCATTTGGCGAGAAAGCCACGCACGAAACCGAACAACGCACAGGGAATGGACGTCCGAGCGATGGCCAGGCCTCGTCTTCGCCTCCTTTGGGCCTCCTGGGAGGCCCTCGTCGCCTCGGCCGCACTCGCCACGCCATTAGGGGGCCACATGGCGAGCCCTGCCCCTACACCCCCCATGATTTCCGAGGGGGGGGGTGGGGTTCGCTTCGTTCGGGAGCTCCCGAGCGAAGTGAACCCCCCCCTCCCCCTCAGAAATCGTGGGGCCACATGCGAGCCCTACCCCTACCCCCCACGATTTCTGAGGGGGAGGGTGGGGTTCACTTCGTTCGGGAGCTCCCGAGCGAAGTGAACCCCACCCTCCCCCTCAGAAACCGTGGGGGGTAGGGGCAGGGCTCGCATGTGGCCCCCTGACGGCGTGCTGGTCAGAGCGGGCCCCCCGGGAGAGGGCCGGGGAGTTGCGGCATCGGCACCTTTTCCTTGCCCTCACCGACGAGGGCACGACTCGGCCAGGCGGAACTCGGCCAGGCTGGACCTGGCCAGCTGGACTCAGCCAGGCTGAACTCGGCCCGGGCCGAATTCAGCTCGGCCGAGCTCAGCCGTAAGAGTGACCTTTCGCCGGAGTGACCATTGGTGCGGGCCCACTAGGGTCCCCCGATCGCTGAACGCGATGCGGTGGCAGCGTCTTGTGCGCTTGTGGTTGGTCCCCCGCGGCCCCCCAAAAGCCGCGCATCAAAGGTCACTCTTACCCAGGGCCACTCTTGCGTGTAGCCGAAGCCTGGCCGAGGTGAGCCGGCTGAGTTTCACCTGGCCGAGTTCAGCTGGCCGAGTTCCGCCGGGCCGAGTCCTTCCTGGCCGCGCTTCGCTGCTGCCCTCCATCCCTGCTCTTTTCAGGGGCAGACGGCCACGGGGGGCAACACACCGGGGGGGGGGGCAGGAAAGGAGCCCCGAGTGCGAGGATGCCACTCCTGGAAGGTAAAGTTCAGCGTCTGCGCTGGCAGATCCGTGGGCAAAAACCAGCCTACTCTGGCATGGTCCCAGCTGGTGCGGTTTGACTCTGTGCAGTCCGGCGCAACCCCGCGGAGTCCGGCTCCATCCCGGGCCGAACCCGGCCTACTCCGGCTCGGTAGCTCCTGAATTTGGCCCGGTCGCCCTCTAGCTCGTTCCCGGGAGGACCTCCCAGGAGTTGCTTCTAACCTGCTGGGGGCCCTTGAGCTGCCCCCGAGTTGCCCTCTTCTCGTTCCCGCGAGGACCTCCCAGGAACTGCTTCCTAACCTGCTGGGGGCCCCTGGAGCTGCCCCCGAGTTGCCCCCTGCCCTCCGCGGGCCCAGCAGGTGCACGAGAGGCGCACGCTTCTTTCGGGTATGGCCAGGAGCCCGGGTAAGGGGACCCGGTTACAGTGCCGTTTTTAATCCATGCTCCGCGTGCGGACCATGTGTTAAACATGCAGGGATGTAGTATTAAAAACAACGATGAGTTCATGCATAGATTTATTCATACATTGATCATGTACGAAAAGTTTATTTTTTTAATCTTATGTATTAAAAACTGCCCTGTAGTGGTAGGGCCCCAGAGCCCCAGAATTGGCCAGACTCACCAAACCAGGTTTGCCGTAGCTGGTGTTTTTTCGGGTCACGGTAGTTCCGGTTAGTGGAACGGGGCGGGGGGGGCGTCCCCAGTACACATCATTAAACCAGGTCCCACTGAACCCAGTTCTGCCAACGCCCGACTGTTCACCCCATGTTACTTCTCCACCTGGTTAACGAACACTCGGGCAGGGCTACGACTCGGAGGATAGTCAACCACGCGCAGGGGGGGGGTGAGGGGAGGGGGGAGGGCTTCTCAGAAGCACCCCTGCTTCTCAGAAGGCGTGGGCCTCATAGACGTAAGGCCGGCGCCTTCTAAGAAGCAGCCTCCTTCTAAGAAGTCCTCCCCCCTCCTTTCACCCACTTGTGCGCGCCACCAAGATAAATAGGTACCCATACCGCTACCCTTCGCCCGTTTTCCCCCTTTTTGGTCCTCGTGGGAGGCCTTCGTCACCACCGCTGGATTCGCCTTGAAATCCTGGTCAGAACGCACCCAGGGAGAGGTCTGGGGAATAGCGGTATCGGTATTTTCTGGTTTCCCAAATTACAAGGATAAACATCTGTCCCAGAGCCTTCCAGAACGCTCCAGAAGGCCGCGGCGCCCGAGGCATCCTCCAGAGCCGCTGGATCTCAGAGACTCTCCTTTCATTCTCATCCGAATTTGTCTTCGTACTGGCAGAGTCTTCAGCGCGCCCAGGAGCCGTGTGGACGCCCTCCTGGCCAAGCCAGGAAGTCAGGAGGGCGTGGCGCATGCACCGCTGCTAGGTTCAGGATGGGCCTGGCCAGGGAGCAGTGCACATGTACTCGTCGGCCGTTAAAAGTAGGGATCTTTGGACGCCCAAGTCCCAATCTACTTTAGGCGCCTTCCTACTTCAAGAGTCGAGGGGTTTTCCCTCTTCCCTGTTCTTCCAGGGGTGGGCGGAAACCCAATCTACTTCAACGCCTTTCCACTTCATTCATGTTTCTACCCACCTCTTCCGACCGACGGGTAAGCTTTCGTCGCCTGATCGTCTCCTCCTGGTCCGCACACCCGGCTCCCTCCCTCCCTCGACCCCTACCTCGAGCAGCCTCGACCTCGCCCATCGCCCCCCCCCCCCCCCCTGTCGGGGCGCCCTCCCCTGGCGACCGGCGCCGCTGGGCGCCAGGTGCCCCACGTGCAGTACGTCGAGAAGGTGGTTGAGGCGATCTCGCGGAGACCCAGAGATCCGACGCTCCGACAAAAGTCAGGAGCGGCGGGTTTGGGCCGTTCTCGGCCTCCAGGGGCCCTCGCCGGGCCTCGGGACCGTCCAAGAACGACTCAGGATGAAAAACCAGCCCCCTGTAGGGAAGTGGTCTGGACCTCTGGGGCCCGCGCAACGAAAAATTGGAGCGGCCGGATGTCTGGGGAGGGGGAAGGGAGGACAAGCCAGTCGCGCGCAGAGGGGGTATGGTGGTGTGGGGATCTTCTTAGAAGCACCCCTACTTCTTAGAAGGCGCGGGCCTTGTCTACAGGTGTAGGGCCAGCGCCTTTTCAGAAGCAGCCTCCGTCTAAAGCCTTCCACCCTCCTCGTACTCCCTTGTGCGCGTCGCCAAAGAGGGGAGAACAAAACCGATCACAACTAGCTTGTGGCCTTCGGCCAATTTCGCCACCGTCCCGGGTTGTGGGAAAGAGGTGTCTTTGGATGCCCGTCGGGGTTTCTCAGGCTGCCCCTCCGAAGCGTCTTGGAATGCTTCTCTCTTGCATGCAAGCCATATGACTCAAGTTGTACCCAGGTGGTATCACTTGGGTCAGGGGACGGGGGAGAGTAAGAACGATTGCAGCTACTAGATATTGCTCACCAGCTACTTCGGACGGTTTGTAACCACCAGGAGAGCCTCTGAGAGCAGTTTCGCATCCGTAGCGTATATTGGTGCTTGTCGCAAGTGGAAGGGATCCCGATCACAGCTAGGGTCCCTTTGCGGCCGCCCATCAGCCCATTGTGGTTGCGATCGGGCATGTGCACGGACCCCTTTGGGGTTTCCTGGGGCGCCCGCATGGCCACGGCTGGGTCCGCCTCGAGCTTGTAGCCAGAGCGCACCTGCGAACAGGTCCAGAGGCTGGAGAAGAAGGAGGAGGATGGGGAAGATGAGAGAGGAGGAAGACAGAGAAGAGATGAGGAATAAGAACAGTAGTGATGATGATGCTGCTGCTGCTGCTGATGATGATGATGATGATGCTAATGATGATGATGCTGATGATGATGCTGATGATGATGATGATGATGATGATGAGGATGATACTGATGGTATGGTGATGGTGATGATGATGGTGGTGGTGATGATGGTGATGAACGTGATGAGAAGGAGGAGGTGGTTGACCTCACGCAGATCGTTGTCGTCCTGCTCCTTCTCCTGCTCCTCAACTTCCTCATCATCACCATCATCGTCATCATCATCATAATCATCATCATCATCACCACAATCATCATCACTTGCGTCCTTCTTCATCACCTCTCCTCCGTCTTCCTCCTCTCTCCTCTCTCCTCCTCCTCATCCTCATTCTCAACATCATCACCCTAGCCACTACCATCATCCTTATCCTCTTTCTCATCATCATCATCGTCACCATCATGCTCACCACCAACAGCAAGGCCACCATCATTTTCACCATCAACACCACCATCATCATTACCATCACCATCGCCATCGCCATCATCATGATCATCATCATCGCCATAGTCATCATCATCATCATCACAATCATCATCATCATCATCATCTACATACATACATACATACATACATACATACATACATACATACATACATACATACATACATACATACACACACATACATACATACATACATACACACACATACATACATACATACATATCAATATCATCGTTACCACCATCATCACCATCATCATCATCATCATCACGATTATCCGCATTATCATGCTCAGCATCATACTTCAATCATCATCACCATCATCGCCGTCATCATCATCACCACCATCACAGCCATCATCATCGTCATTATCAGCATCGTCATTATCACCATCATCACGATCATCACCATCATCATCATCATCATCATCATCATCATCATCATCATCATCATCGTCATCATGGTCATCGTCATCACCACCACCACCACCATCATCATCATCATCACCGTCCAAGCATCATCATCACCATTATGGCCGTCATCATCATCATCATCATCATCATCATCATCATCATCATCATCATCATCATCATCATCATCATCATCATCATCATCTTTTTCCTCCTATCTTCTCGCCCTCGCTCCGCCTGCGCGCGCTACCTTGCGACCGGGCGAGCAGGAGGAGAAGGAGGAGGAGGATCCAGGGGAATCCAGGATCAAGGATCGAGGTTTCGTGCCCAGCACGTGCTTTCCAGGGCCAAGGATCAAGGACCTCGGTTTTGTGTGCTCCCTTGGGTGTACTCGGGCAGAAGCGAGATGAACCAGCGTATGCCAACGTGTCCGCACGCGCCGTCGATGTTTGTAGCGCGCGCGAGCTCGGCAGCTCTCACTGTTGGCGATGCTAGCCGCTAGCCAGGGAATTGCATGTCCGCGCTCGCCCTCCAGAGCCGGGCCCCGCTCCGAACCAACACCACTGTCCAGACACATTTGGTACGAGGTGCCTTTGGAGGCCTCGCGATGGCTTGTCGCGGATCGGAGGCTCCTTGCAGCGAGGGGCGGTGCCAGCATCGTGCGCGCGCGTTGGCAGGTGATCCCGCTATCTGCTTGGCGCGGCTTGTATGTTTGTGATTTTCGTTTCGTGCGTGTGCTGTGCCCGGTATGGCCACCGTTCCTCGTGTGCTTGGCGGGCCGCTGCTTTGCCTGGCGCGCGCGCGCGGTGCGCGCGCTTGTCGCGGGTGGCTTTCGATTTGTTTCATTTTTGTTCCCAGCCCTCCTGCGCCTCAGGTCCTCGCTTTGAATTTGCGGCGCTTCGCGCCTCATCCCTTTGCTCTTCTGTCCGCTCCTCTTTTTCTTCTCCTCCTCCTCCTCCTGCTCTTTTTTCTCTCCGCTTCGTTTCCTCATCACCCATCCCCTTTTGTCTTGCGTGGTGTGCCTTCGTTTTGTGGCCGCGCCGAGGCAATCTCAGCGCGCCCTTCGCGCCGCGCGCTGTTCGTTGTCCCCGAGCGATTTGTTTTTGAAAGTCCTTGTGGTGCAAACCGCATGCCGGTGCCGCTACCAGTCTAGCACGCCCATCGCGCGTGTCGCGGCCCCGTGCGCAACCCTGCCGACGCGATGTGGTCGCGCGCCGCCTCCCCGACCATTCCAGATCAACGTTCACAAGGTTCGTGGCCCCTATGAGGAGCTCAACCGAAATGCCGCAGAACATCGACCGCACGCCGCCACCCATATTATCTGAGGCCGCCCATCTCGCGGTTCGCGGTTCTATAGCTCGGTGCGGGCGATAATGTGCCCCCCCTTCCCCGTTATATTTGTATTATCCCCGTTTAACAGGGTTCAATTGTGGAGAAGGGCGCGGAGGCCGAACTTTAATTTTTCACGGGGGCAGTTGCGAATCGAATCTGCTATCATATCATGTTGACTAGCAGCGGCATCGAAAACGCCGAGCATGGCCATAGTGGTCTCACCACATCAGCTTCCGCAGTCGCGAGCGTGTGGCAGGGCTGTGGGGTTCTCACCAGTTCACAATTTGCTCAAGTTACGAACGTGCGGCAGGGCCATGGGATTCTCGCTTTCTCAGCCGTTCCCGAGTCAGGAACGCGTGGCACGGCCATGGGAACCGACTGGATTTTTTTGGACATGCGTTTTTCGAGCAGGCAGAGCATTGGATGTAATTACTTTTCAGCGCATCCCTCACACGGTTCGTGGCCCTTCTTCCTCCTCCTCCTCCTCCTCCTCCTCCTTCCTCCACCCCCGCAGTTGCCCAGGCCCGAGCTTCCCCGAGCCTCCGAGACTCCAAGCATTCGAGCCTCTTCGAGGCGCCGAGCCTCTTCGCCCCAGGGGCAGCGATGGGGGGGATAGGCGTGCCGAGCCTTCCGAGGAACGTGCGGATTCACGATCGGGCGCGCATCGCCGATGCATCGTCGATGCATCGCCGATTCCAGGTCGATGCCCCCTCCCAATGGTTACCCCCCCCGCGTCGTTGCCCGTGAGTGCGTCGTGAGCCAGGGCCATGAGCCAGGCCGCCGAGCGCGCCGCAGCGGCGAGCCTCCCCGTCGAGGCCCTCAAGCAGGTGGTGGCCCACAGCGCGAGCCCGAACTCGAACGAGATCTTCGAGCGCATGGTCAAGCAAAACAAGAAGATCCTCGACGAGCTCGCGTTCATCGCGGACAAGATCGCGATTGCCGAGGCGCCAATGCCAATCGAACGCGCAAGGCACTGATGCAGCGAGGATGACGGCCTGCTTTGGCCGAGAGCGCCTTGTGGTCAAGCAGCGCCCAGCAAACCGTCTTCGAGATGGCCTGCAACGGCGGGTCTTTCTAGAGCATCTGGTTCGGCCACATTTTCAGCGAGAAGGGCAAGGTGCGCATCGAGCCTGCCGTGGCGTTGTTCTGCAAGACCTACTGCGAGAATGACGAGCGCGTCTGCGACATCTTCGAGAATCGCGGAGAGCCGCCCGAGAACCTTCTGGCTCATGTCGGGCTTCAAGGCCAAGATGCGCGAGCTTGCCAAGAAGAAGCGAGCTCGGCGCCGAGGGCGTCCAGCGCCTCGCCCGCGGCTCCCGCGCCGAGCGCGTCGGTGAGGCCCTTCCCGACATCCCCGCCGAGCCCCCCCGCCTCCGCGACCTCGTGCTGCCGACCGACGAGAAGTTCGAGCCCGTCGAGAAGTGGGGCGAGGAGTCCTCCGGCGTGGATGCCGAGCAGCTCTTCGAGTTGATCCCGAGCAAGGCCGAGCAGTTCGTCGCTCGGCCCCGCCAGGGCGGCGCGGCGTCGAGCCCTGGCGCCGCCGAGGCCGCGGCGCAAGCGATGGCCAAGTGGCGCTGGAGCGCGAAGAGGACAGCCGACGTGGCGCGCGAGCTCCAGGAGCGGAGCTACTGGGACAAGCGCTCCAAGCTTGACTACGCGAGCACCGCCGGGCAGCGGGACATCGAGACAACGGCTCTCGACCAGCACATCAAGCTGAATTTCGACAAGTTCGCCAGGATCTACACCGACCCCGACAAGATCACCAACCGGCGCCAGCCCGAGAGGAGCCAGGCCGACGCGAAGGC